ACATGGAGAAGGACTGCCCCATCTCGACCGAGGCGGCCAAGTGCTTGCCCAGCAAGCTGGTGTGAGTGCATCTCTGGGGAAGCGCAGGCCGCACACCCTCGCGCCCCCATTTTTGTCCGTGCATGACTGGACCGGTCCGGGTTTGTTTCCGTCTGTGGTTTTTCCATAATGTCATTTCGTACAATGATACGTCAGTACATGCCCCAGAGTACATGTACATGTGCGTACGGCGGCAGACACCGCGCTTAGAGCCCCGTAACTTTCACCATACCCCAACTGGTGAGCAACCATTGAAAGCAACCAAATTCCACGCGACCGCACACTCCGAACTCACGGAATATATGAGGAGGTGGACCGGAAGCTCGTGCGCACCCTAACCGGCACTGCAGCGCGAAGCGCAGCACGTACGAGGGCAGACGGAAGTGCGCGCGGGTCGGGATCGCGTTCAAGAACGCGCCCGCGCCGAACTGGCTGACCGAGACAAACCGCACCTGCTCCCTCCTCCCTGCGCGGCCCGCCGCCGCATGCATGTCCCTCCAGGCCGAATGGTGAATCGTCGCGGAGTATCGGCGCTGAGCGTGTTGTAGAAGATTGCTGCGCGAGCTCCATTCGGTAAGCGGAAGATATGTATGCGCCGGGGGCAGCCCTGGCGTGCCGCGCGACCGAGTTCGTCTTCAAGGTCGGCAAGGAGACCGGCGGCAAGAAGATGGAGAGCCCGCACTCGCTCAAGTCCAACGAGATGGCCGAGGTCGCCTTCCAGCCGCAGCAGCCGCTCGTCGTCGACTCCTTCAAGAACTGCGAGGGCCTTTCACGCATCGCCTTCCTCGACGGCAACACCGCCGTCATGCTTGGCAAGGTCACCGGAGTCACCAGGAAGAGTGACATGTAGTAGTTGCCCGGGTCTGCGCTCCTGTACGGTACCCCACAGCTATTTGCTCAGAGGTGATGAGTGTGTGCGCAGCGTGGAGAGTAGAGCCCCTAGCTGTCAGGTCAAATCCGCTGTTGCGTCGTGTCAAAACACCCCAAAAGCGTATCGTGACTAAACCGTAAACGATCGTCTCGGGGAGCGCATGATCGACGGATCGTGACGTGATCTTATCTTTGTGTTTGATTGAGGTCTGTAGAGCTCTAAAGGGTGATGGGTGTGGATGCTGGGTAAATCGGAGGACGCGACCCACCTCACCACAGACGGTCCCGCGCCTCGCCGCCAAGACGGCTACACGACCGCGGCTCGTGTGCGTGTAGCCGTC